ATATCTATGTGAAACCTCATCGACAAGCTGAATCGATTTTTTAAAATTATATTATAAAAAAAGGTGTAAATATGATATAATTTACCATAGTAACATTCCAAGTTTCTTATAACTGAATATAACACGGGAATGCGTTTCTCTAGAAGGCATGGATTGCGAATCTGGAGGAAATTTCTACGTGTATGTCTGAGGGAGGAACCTGGCCAATGGAGGGGAACTTGTTTCTGGAAAAGCTGTGCACACACACAGAAGGAGCCCTTCTCAATCTTAGAAAATGAGGAAAGGGATTTCATGGCAGACGCGTGCAAAGTCACACAACACCATTTTGCAAAGCCTTAAAACATGTTAACGCTTGCACGGTACGTCGTGAACCTCCCTGAAAACGTTTGTTTAAGGGTGCTTTTTACATTTTAATTATTATTATCATTATCAGAACTGTTTTTTCTTGAAAGGAAATTTGTTGAATTACGAATGTACGTAAATGATATTGATGGATGCATAATAAAAACAAAAGTTGTTTGTTTGTTTTGCTTGGGCCGAAAATACACAAAGGGGAGAATAAAATAAAAATAAAAACTCACATGAATATTCAAACTGTACTCCTGTAAGCTGACAGGAAGCTATCGCATGTATAATTTACTTTGACTGTTTACCAGGCTGAGCTAAGAATACTGCCAGCTGGCAAACAAGCTCGTTCCACAGATGGTACACAAGAGATCCCTGGTGCCAAATAGTAATTTAGAAAAATGCTCGGACAAATAAAATGTATGAAAGTAAACAATATCCATTATACATTATAAACTGCAAGTATATTTTTCTACATTGAAAAATTACAAAGGCATGTGAATAAAACCACAAACGTGTCAAGGGCGCACGATTTTACATTGTTATGAAACTGATTTGTGTGAAAAGAAATAATATGTGGCATTACATTCGGCACAAATAAAATACAAATATTTAAAAAAAAACTAACAAACAAATCCATAGTATGGGTTCGGCATGTGAGCCCTGGGAAGTCAAGTCACGTGGGACTGATGACCACAGAAACCTCGCCCCCCGTCCAGGGCCCTGCTGTTGAAACATAACTCGTGGTTTACAAATATCGACATGCATCAAGCGTGTCATTTCAATTTGGCCATCGTATTACTTTGTTGAATGAAAAGGAAATACTTTGAGTTGGGGTTTATATTTAACTTCTTCTGCTGGTACTCTTTGTTTGAAAATAATAATAAGTTAAAACGTGGGAACGCAATGTTTGATGTAACAGGCGGCACTCACGAAAGCACATTCACACTCGCTCACTCCCCAGCCGCCAATTGACTAAAAGGGTCAACATATATCACTTCGATGTTTAGCTCGACTTTTAACAGTTGTTCAAAACTTCCTATGCCCTCCTGCGTTTTCTCACATAATTTCAAATCCCAAATTAATGAATTCCTCTTTGTTCTTCCATTTGTGGACCATCTTGGAAAATAATTATAATTTCCCTGACATTACTGTACATTGATTTATATTGAATTATCGCAGCAAATATAAAAACACACACAAAGTTAAACTTTGCAATATTGATAGCTTCACTTTACGCATAAAATATTTATACCAGTCCATCCGTTACGCACTTCGTGTTGGGTTTGAAAACTCACAGATATGTAAATCCTTTGGTAAATGCAAATGCCTGTGATGAACGAATTCTTGTTTAACAATGCATGAATAATACACGCAACACCAGAACAATTTTAATATCGGGTCGAGAATGGCCTTCTGGGGGAGCCCACATGGCAAGCCAAGCATTGATTGTGTGCTGAATCGCAGCGGCTTCTTAGCATTCCGTTGCGAAGCAGACCGAAGCGCTGGCTTCATTCCCAATTGGTTTGCATCAAAAAGCCGCCACTACCAAAATATGCGGCTGGTGCACTCAGACACGACTGAGCAAATATGGCTGGATTCAACAGCTGCACGGAGCTGAATGGCGGCTGCCTCTTCAGATACGTCGTCGGCTGAGAAAGCCGTGGCTAAGCGCAGCATTGCCGGCCATTCCAGCAAGCGAACTCACGTTCATCGCGTTGAAGATGTTTCATCGCGAGTTTAAATTATGACCGAGACCCAACGACCGCTCGTTGTCACGTTCCGCTAAATTGCGGAACTTTTACGACTTGTCTTTGAATGCATGAGTACGTGCTGTTTTTTCTGAGCTGGGTTACAGATGGGATATTTCTGAAGGGGTATATTTGTTTCTTCATTCATTCATTAGTTTATATAGCACACTGCGTAACTGAGATGCAGCGTTTTGGTCTAAGGTGCCATCTTCTGCGGGTGGACAGAGAACAGTCCGTGGCAGTGCTAACCATTATTAGAAACCCAGCAGTAATTGTGAAGAAGTGATGATGGACATCGGTTAAGAATAACGGTCGAGTGGCAGCCTAGGAATGAAACGCATCTGAGAGAACGTCCAGTGAAGAGATGGAATGATGAAATCAGCTCATGGGCAGGGGCTGGGTGGATTATTACATTGCAGGATTGGAAACGACAGCGACGACTTGTGTAATAATGATGATGATGACAGTCACAAATGAGACAACTGAGGCCATCGAAATCCAAACATTTTTAATCTCCAAATTGAATTAGCATTGTTGGGGTGGTATATTCAAGTCAGTCTACAATCTTCTGTAGACTACGGTCATGAAAACCCCACTCACATGTGGCATATAAATGGCGGAGATTAAACATTAATTAAATAGCGGGAATATTTTGTAAGGCAAATGTAGTTTTATTGCAGAGAAACACATTTCATTGTCCATCACTGGTCTGTAAGCGCAGCAGCCACAAAACTGCATGACAGAAAGAGCTCAGAATTCATTATTGAGTGGACAAGCCCTCTGTACAGTGGGACATTGCGAGCCAAAGTTACTCTCAGTCGGGCTGACGAGACGACCCTAATTACAACTCTGCGCACAATAACCCAAAGAGGTCAAGTACAGAAATCAATCAATACCTCTCATTTTCATTTGCGCAGGACTATAATTTTCCTTCTGCTGCCCGTCTAAATATATACTTCTTTTGCGGCAGTATCTCCCGTTCAAACCAAGAGCAATTGGACAAAACTTTGATTTGCGAGCAATTCTTTTCTCCGGCCTTATTTTTTTTAAATCCTGTATTGATATTTTTTCTCTCTCGCTCTCTCCTGCTAACATAATCGGAGTCCTTGGGCTTGCCAGTTGCTCACACTCCTCTCTCGCACCCGGGCAAGTGGCAACAGAGCCGCGTCGTCGCGAACAAGCAGCATGGGGGTCGCCGTGATGTGTTTGCGTGACCCTGCCAGGCCTGGATGACACCGCCGTAACTCTGCGCACAACTGGGCGCCGTTAATTGGTCTGAGGAATGAGACCCGTCGCTATTCAGAGGGCGTGACAGAGAGCGGCAGAACGATGGGCCTCAAGTTAGAAAAAAGCAATGTTTTACTCTGCCTACATTTTAATCACGTTGAAAATTAAAAGGAAACGTATCGCTCTTCAACTACCAAGTCACGTTGTGGTAGCGAGTTACCAACCTATGGCAATATATTACGGCTGGCCAACTTCCAAACTGGCTGCCTGAAAGCAAATTTTACACTTAAATTGCCACGTGAAGTTTCCATAATTAGGTCTTATATTTAGCACGTCAAGTAGTATGCTTCGATGGATATTGCAGCAGGTCAGTTAGAGGGAGCTATTATCGTCGTACAAGTGGTTTGCCAATTATAAAGACGTACTTGACCTGGAGAACTAAACATTATGCCCCTTAAGGGCTGCTTTCATGTTGCCTGCAATTGCTGTGAAGTTGAATTTAAACGACATAGTGACTGCACAAATAACCAATATCATTTTTTTTATTAACCACTGTATACGATTGCCTTGTGCTTTTCACTCAAATCAATATTTAACACTCATTTTGACTCTCCTATTTATTTATTTATCGTGTTCACTGCCGCGTGACTGTGTGCGAATGAAGCGGATTAACGCCCGCCTCTGCCTTCTCTCCGCCTACGTTGGGCTCCCACAATTGGATGGTTACCGAAGCTGCGCGCGACTCCGATGCAGGCCAACCGCAATGATCAGCTGATGATTAATTTTGTGGCACCTGCACTATATCCCAAGCACACCATTAAGAAAAACAAGCACTCGTTATCCATGCAAAGGGAATTAAGCTCCGAGCTGTCACAGCTGTGTAGACACACGTTCGTGCGAGATTGTCCCATCAATAATGAAGGCCAACACCAGAAATGAAATGCTCGCGTTCTCACACCATGTATGTTGTCCGCTACTTTAGACGGAGTGGATTGTGGGGTAGTGGTTAGCAAATTGTGCTATAAAATTGGCTATCCGGGATTGATTCCCGGACATGGTTATCATCGGTGGCTCGTGATATTTGAATCCGCCCACCCCCTGCCAACATGCCCAATCAACCCACACTCACTAATGTGGTGAAGTATTGACAAACAACACCTATGACCCACTCCGATGTGTTTTGGGATTGTATAGTGTGTTGTGCAGCATGACGCCCGACGTTTCGCTCCACGTGCTAAGAGCGTTTTCGGGAATTTCATCAGGAACTGAAGCTCCCAGAATATCAGGCAAAAAACGTCGGACATTATGCCGAAACAACACGCGGTACAACGTGGAAACACATCGAAGAGCTACACATCACAACCGTGATAACCTGTGCAGTAGTACCCTTATGACTGTCCAGGAGTGGATTGAAAAAGGGCTGCGAATCGGATAATGGACAGCGCTGCAAATGGCTCACACTGTGGTGGAGTTCATCTTTGCTCATCACCCAACTCTCCACAATCAACTTGCAAATTGGCGTTCCGAAAATTCAACCGATGTGTTGGCCGCCTGTGACGGAAACATTGGACTGTGTCCATGTCTGTACACATTGAGGTTTCTTTCTTTCAAACTCCGCTCATGCGCACACATTACATGCAACCACACACACACATGGCACCCAATGTGTCCACTCACCTCTTCACTCACCACTTCTTCCTTCTTCAAAGCTGGTAAAACAAACACACGTGCGACTTGTTAATTTCATTTGTTAAATGCTGCAACCCCGTATCAGCGCGCGGCGGTCCCACATGTGAAATCAATTGCTCAGTCTGCACGCAAATGAACAACGAGCTGCACTAAGTTTCCAAACATAAAACCAACAACACTGCCAAGTGAGCTTCAATCCACCACTCCACTGGCATATACACACACACACTACTACTATAATGAGCCGAGAATGTCTGTTTGTGTGTAACGGGCGTGACGTCACTCCACATGCCGCACCCCCCCTCCATCATTAATATTCATGGGTTTTTACACTCACGCAGAAGGTCGAGCGGAAATAAAAAAAAATTCACATATTCGCTTTAAGTTTCACGTTTCTTTTTTGAAAGTGAATCTAATAAATAATTCTAAGCAGCAACAAAGTGGATTTGTTGAAAATCTTGACTAAAGCTTTTGTGACTGCAGGAATTCATCTTCTTTGGGTCTTTCGATAAAGTCACGTAGATAGTTTCTTTATTTTCTTTGAACCTAACTCCGTGACTTTACCTAAAGACCCAAAGAATATGGATTCTGTGTCTTTATTTATTTCTTCAGCACTCTTCAAGTCTAATTTATGCTTCTACATTATGGTAAAATAGACATTTCTCGGTGATTTGCCAGATATTGTGTCGAATTACAATTTATTTCAACCGCAGCGACCGAAAGCAAAAGAGAATAAAGTATCAGAGCAGTGAATTTGAAAAAATTGAAGGTCAATTATATACAGTACAACAGTGACATGAAGTGAGGTGTTTTATGACGTAGTTTTGTGCAATAATCACTGCCATTAAATTTACACAAGATACAATTATACTCCGCTCCATTTCTTCGTAAATATTACAGCTTCTGTCCTAGGATGTGCAAACAAGCTAGTAGAAACATAATCAGCCTTTCTTACATCCGGCATTAACTGAGGGCCTCCCCACACCATGTCGGTGAGCGGAGGATGAGATTCACCATATTTCACCACGCTAGGCAATGCCGGTTGGTGAAAGGGTTGTGGAGGCAAAGGAGGGAAGGTACGGTTGTGATATCACTCGTCACGCCACATCTCTGATTAGCACGGTTCGCTACGTAAGATGCGAAAGAAGTTCGGCATACATCATCGTTCTTCACTAATTCTCAGAGGGGGGGGGGGCACTTGCGCCGAGAGAGAGGCATCAGTGTGAGGGCCGCCACACATTGGAAACCATCAGGGGTTTATCTTCTTGGTTCTTTCGGTAAAGTCACGTATAATGAAAATAATAAAATAATAATAAAACACAATAAAATAAAATAATATTATTTTATTATGTTAACAATAATAAAAATAAAACATAATAAAATAAAATAATATTATTTAATTATGTTTTATTTTTATTTGTTTATTATTTCCATTCTACGTGACTTTACCGAAAAAACCTAGAAGATGAATCCCTGCAGTCACAAAAGCTTTAAATCGAAACATCGGGGGTTTGACAGCACGATGATGATGGTGGGGGGGGGGGGAGGTGTTTTCACGCGTTGTCTATTGTCGGGGGCCGCACGCCAGGAGCCGCATTAAAGGCCACCAGGGACCGCCAGTGGCCCGCGGGCCTTGCGATGAACAACACGGGCATACAGACTTACTCTAGCCGTGGCCTATAATTGAACTCGGGTCGTCGGGTTTACAGCGCAGCGCAACGCTAACCACTCTGCCGCCGATCAACGCCGAGCAAGCGATACGGACAACATAATCGCCACAATAGCAGTGGAGTATTGCTGACATTAGCCACTGTTAATCCCAGGGCTTGAATGTCGTCGCGTCTGAACAATAGCGCATCTAACGACCGTGTCACGGCTCTTCACAATGAAATACATTCCGGGCTAGCGATTACAACTCGAGCAGCGTGGAGCAGATTTCGTACAAGTTGCCTTAATTACAAGTGCCCACGCCAGGTACATTAGATCAATGCCCCGTATTAGATTAATGTGCCCGATTAAACATCACGTGTGTTGCTTCTCAGAGCACAGCCGTGCAGCATGACCTTGTTTAACGGGAAGAGTGGGGAGGGCACTAAATAAGCTCCAGCAGGGGAGAGGGCACTGTCAATGTTATACGAACTTTAGACAAACGTCAAACGCTGAACCGAATTAGTAACGATACGATCTGGGTTTTTTTTCCCGATCGTAATTTTTGCTCTGCCTCTCACCCACAAATGTAGTATACGAGGGAAGGCTGTCAGCTTCGACTGTCGTCGCTTAATTGTCACCGGTGTTCAATATTGTTACCAACAACAATATTTGATTTGACAAGACGAATGTGGAGTGGGGGTGGCAGGGGGGGGCAGCCCTCTCCAAGCCCTCGGAGAACTCGGTAGGGACCGTGCCACCTTTGTTAAGTGTCAACTGAAGTCAGTCAGTATTTTGCTACTGGCAAATGAGGTACCAATGGTGTAATGCTTACCGCGAGCTCTCATACTCTGATGGTGCGTTGTCTTTGAGTTGTGCGCCTTTTGGCGTCATCTGATCCAACACCATGTGAGACTAGGCTCTAAGGAAAGCTGTCTCGGGTGTGGACCATTCAACTTCAAGGACAGTGCATACATTATCAGAGTTGTGTTTTTTGTTTGCATTACGACTGCAAGTATTGTGGTCTATGCAAACATGTTTTGTTGCCAGATAAAAGGGTAAAACAACTATTATCAGTCAGTGGTGTTTGTCAACTCCAGTCCTCCACCACGGTACAACGCTTTGTGATGAGCTAACTAATTTCGCTATCCACAAATGCTCTTTTTTTGCCTTTAGTTTATAGTTCTTCCCCCGCACCTCCGATTAGCGCGGCTGGCTACGTACGGTACGAAAGAAGTTCAACATGCACACAGTTCAAACACACACGAGGTTCAACACTGCGCGGCTTACCGAGTTGGAACGAAATCGTTCGCATGCATTTCGGTTGACATGGGCATAGACAGAGTGGTACACATGCTACAATGCTGGGGTCTATCCATCTGCAGATTGTGAGTTGCGGTTACTGGAGGCACGGGCGCGTGATTCTCAGTGGAAATGGTTTTGGTGGAACTCCTCTTATCTGTGAGCCCGTTACCCGGGCAGGTTAAGCCAACGCACACTGCACGCACCCGATGTTTGGTAATCACGGCCAATGCGAGGACCGCGTTGTAGCGGCCGCCTGAGGATGACAATGAGTGAGTGGATGGAGCGTGTAGAGCGTGTGCTGCGTGTGCTGCGTGATGGATGGCGACTCACCCAGCCGACTGAAACTTTCCGACAGTGTGCGCCGTAGCTTCTTCATTTTGCTCATATTTTCTGTACCCACCACCGTCCCACCGACGCTGTCAAAAGGGGGGGAACAGCAGCAACAACAACACAAATGCGTCAATGTAATTCACAAACAAGTAATCACGCGGACACAATCCGCGTTCACAAAATATAAAGATCCCCCGTATAGCCTTCACAGACGTGTGGGGCAAGTGCTGTTAGCATGAAGGCATACACGGGCACACGAGGGGGTGTGTGGCCAGCACCACACCGGGCCGCCTTTGTCTCTCTCGTTGCGATGTTTATATACCGTATCAAGTACTCATTTGAGGCTGACCCGACCTAAGGGAGGTCCACTCGTGCCGCCGGGTTCGTAGCGCACACAACTCGCTAACCGCTCCACGAGCACACAAAGTCTTTGAGATCCAAATATGCACTGTACTTCCACGAATTGAAAAAAAAACCCACACACATATATACGTATAAATGTAATTAAACGACCAACACAGGCGCAAACGCGTGCCTGTATTGTTACGAAGCGATCGCTCCGCACGGCTGTCTGGCGAGAGACGTTGCACCTCTGCGATACTGACCGCTCTGAGATGCGCTGGGATGGAGACGCGAAGAGCCTCTTCTTTTCGCTGTTGCTCCTCCCTCCTCCTTCCCACTCCCTCTTCCTCCTCTCGATCTCTCTCTCTCTTCCTTCTCCTCCTCCCCTTGCTCCTCTTCCTCCTCCTGCGGCTGCGTCTCCGCGTCGATGTCGCCGCTCCTCGCAGCGCTAAGATCTCCCCCCCATCTTCGGGAACGCCTCGGAAATGAAAATCGCTGCCTGCCTCGGGTTTGGAAATCGACTGCTTAGCGCGCACCTCCCTTTCCACCCATCTCCTACGTAACCCGTCAACCTCCCAGAACTCGTATGCGTAAAATACGTGCACACACACAGAGAGAGAGATAAGCACACGCAGCGAGAGAGAGAGAGACAGCGATCAGGCGAGCAGCGATCCTCTCTAGTTTGAGGCGTTCTCCAGCCCGGGCACAAGGGGCGGAAATGACACGGGCACTGACTCACTGCGCGTGGCTCAGAGTAGCAGCGCCTGCCTGCAGAGAGGGGCGGCAGTCTCTCTGAGCCAGTGCTCTCTCCCCCCCCCTCCTCTCTCCTCTCTGTCTCGCAAGCCAGTCCAGAGCCGGTCCATAGCAGCGCCTACCCAGCACAGCTCGCTCATAACCCATCGTCATCATCATCATCATGACCACCACCACCATCATCATCATCATTGACAGCATCTTCTTCATCCGTGCTCGCTCCTGGCAGCGCGCGCACTCATGCAGGTCAATGTTGTTCGTACGTGTCCAGAGTTCACGCCTAGTTCAATAATACAAAGATACATTACGATGATGACGACGATGAATAATAACACGAATATAATAACATACAGACCTTTGCAAATGAAAACACCGCTGTTGTTGGTCATAGGGGTTGATTGACCATACTTCTCCATGCTGGTCAATGCGGGTTGGTGAAAGGAGGGTGCGGGGGGGGGGTGTAACGGTTCAGGGATATCACTCGCCCTTGATGTTCGCCGTGGTAAGGGAATCGAAAGAGCTTAGTGCGTTAACGACTGCTCCACCGCTCCCCTTGTATTAAATAAAGTGAAACAAATGACCAGCATGGGATACACGCTCCAATTAAGGGATGTGATTGGTGCCGTGGCTGGCGCGCGGGGCATGAATCAGAATTAATTTTTTAAAATGCATTTCCCAAACCCGATTTGCGTGCTCTCAATTATCATGCATATTCGCCATTTTCCGACATTGTTTAGATTGTTTCTGCTTATAGAGAGTTCATGATGACTCGACTCGCGATGCGCCCCGCGAATTCTTCAGCGCAGCGGCGACGGAGAAGTGAATTGCGCGCACGGCGACAAGCGCCATGCCTCTCACGAGCCCCGCACACCTGTTTCCATTTACCCCACCCGGGTCTCGTGTGCACGTACGTGTGTGTGTGTGTGCACGTACGTGTGTGTGTGTGTGCACGGACGTGTGTGTGTGTGTGCACGGACGTGTGTGTGTGTGTGCACGGACGTGTGTGTGTGTGTGCACGGACGTGTGTGTGTGTGTGCACACACGTGTGTATGTGTGTGTGCACACACGTGTGTGGGGAGCGGTAGTGTAGTGGTTAGCGCTACGCTGCGCTACGAACCCGGCGACACGGGTTCATTTCCCGCTCACGGCCAACACCAGTGACGATTATCTCAACCGGTCCCGGGCCTCCCCTAGGTAGACTCAGCCTCAAATGAGTACATGGTGCGGTGTGTAAACATTGCCACTAGGGAGACAAAGGCGGTCGGGCGTGGTGCTGGCCACCCACCCCCTCGTGTGCCGTTCCGGCCTTCATAGGTGCTTCGCTAACAGCACTTGCCCCTACAGGCTGTTAAGTCTATATGGGGGATCTTTGTCTTTATCTTTGTGCACGTGTGTGTGTGTGCACGTGTGTGCGCGGCCTGTGTGTGGACGCGTGTGTAGGGTGCGTGTGCGGGGAGCGGTGGCGCAGCGGTTAACGCGCTACGCTGCGCTATGAAACCCGGCTATCCCGAGTTCGACTGCCCGCTCGCGGCCAACACCGGATGACGATTATCTGAACCGGGCCATGGGGCCTCCTCTAGGTCGACTCAGCCTCAAATGAGTACCTGGTGCGGTGTCAAAACATCAGCCGCTGGGGAGACAAAGGCGGCCGGGCGTGGTGCTAGGCCACCCACCCCCTCGTGTGCCGTGCCGGCCTTCATTGGTGCTCGCTAACAGCACTTGCCCCCTAGAGTCTGTTAAGTCTAAACGGGGGATATTTCTCTTGGCCTTTGCTTGAGTTATGCAGTGTCTGTGTCTGCGTGTGTGCTGACCCCTAGTGTGCCGTTCTTCATAGGTTCTCGCAAACAGCACTTTCCTTAACAGTCTGTTCAGGCTACACGGGGGGTCTTTGTCTTTGGGTGGAGCGGTGGCTACGAGCCCGGTGAACCATGTTCAATTCCCACTCAAGACCAGGAACAGTGGCGAATATTTTAACTGGTCTTGGCCTCCTGTGAGTCGACTGAGCCTCAAATTAGTACCAGGTGTGGTGTGTAAACATCGCCACTGGGAAGACATAGGCGAGCGGACATGTTGTTGGCTACATCACTGCTTCGTGTGCCGTGCCGACTTAATCGGTGATCACGAACAGGACTTTCCCCAACAATCTGTTGAATGCTAAAGGGAGTGTCTTTGTATTTACTTTTCGTGATCTATCCATTTGTGGTGTATGGCATGATATAAGTTGCTATGTCCGATTTTTATTTCCTGTATTTCGGATTTTCGCCATTTTCTCTCTCTCAAAAATCTAGTTATGTTTTCAGCTACATATATGCCATACTTGAGTATGCACGTGCGTGCGTGTGCTTGTGTACGTTCGCATGTATGCGTTTGTCGTGGAGGCGTGTGTATGTAGGAGTAGGGAGTGTAAGAGGTTGCGGTGGTTCTGGATTGAGAATGCAGAGGCACGGAGACTCGAGTCGCTTCATCTCGCCACGTGGGGCCGTGCCCCTTCAGTGCACACACCAGCTCTTCCTGATTATCTGTTCCCCCAATGTTGTCTCGATTGTGCTATCGTCGTCATTGCGTGAGACGAAGTATTCATTTGGATTTGTCGTAGAGCAGTGCAACCCATAATGTGAGAGAACGACCCACGGAAGTGGATACCACAGAGCTTCCTCTGAAATTCATTCAGTGACCTCTGATCAACAGAGGAGAGTGAATAACTTCCCCACCTGCTCTACCACTTATAATAATAATCTTGCCATGAAGGTCAACCCGTTTATATTTTAATTCTCAGAGCTGTAGTTTAGCGGAATTTGGTGCGGAACAAAATTTGATGTGATGGGTGGCATTGTCTTAAATGTGAATTTACTCGCGGACCATCACATCTTTTCGCGTTTATCAATCTTCTCCGCTCAAAAACGCGAATTAAATCGTTAAACGCTTAGCAATCATCAAGCAAGTACCGCGTGTAAGGCTGTCAACTTTTATTGACCTAAAATTGCGAGACGTAGAAAGGCGTTGTTATATATGTCGGATTATGAAATTTTGATAAAAATAAGAAAAAGTAATAAAAATTGGAAAAATGCGTAATTCGCGGTAATTATGCTAATGTATGTAATTATATGCATACATTATGATAATCGCGGAGATAATCGTATTAATTTATGCGAATGCGCATTTTTCCAATTGTTATGAATTTTTATTTTTATAAAAATGTCATAATCCGACATATACAACAGCGTGGCATGGTGGAGTCGCGAGAACTGAATCTGATGCAACTACGCTCCTAAATGACACGAACGCACTACACAATTCAGACATCATTAGCGCCTTGGTGTACCTATCACCGCTGTATATGCTACCGTGATGTGTTAAGTATGCGGTTTCGCTGTTACTCACGCCTCGTCGCGTTCAGAATTATTAAAACTGTCGCTCGAAGAGATGATGCACATTGGGCAAGACTAATGATAGAGTGGCAGCCAAGGAATGGAACGCATCCGAAAGCACATCCACCAGGGAGATGGAGTAATGAGATCAGGTCGTGTTCAGGTGCTAGGTGGATGATGACTTCGCAGTAGTAACTCGGCGACCGGAGTTTGATTCCCGCTCACAGCTAAAACCAGTAACGATTATCTGAACCAGTCCTGGACCTCCCCTAGGTCGACTCAACCTCAAATGAGAACCTGGTGCGGTGTGTTAAAACATCGTCACTGGGGAGACAAAGACGGTCGGGTGTGATGTTGGCCACCCACCCCCTCGTGTACCGTGCCGTACTTCATAGGTGCTCGCTAACAGCACTTGCCCCATCAGTCTGTTAAGGCTACACGGGGGATATTTGTCTTTGTATCCCATCGCAGGAGCGTGCGTTATGGCAACGGTTTCGTCAAACCTTCATTCAGCAGTGGAGTGATCAGACCGTCGCACAGGTGAGGGGCATCGGGGAAGGTTTCATTGAATACGAGGGCACGAGGCGAAGTGCACGTGGCCCAATTCGTGTTACGCGTCCAATTTTAGACACTGGCAAAGACGCATCCGTAAATGTTTAATGTGCAATTTCACGTGGGTTCTTCCTCTCTGCAACGAAGCCGGATCGCATTGCGGGCTCCACGACACGAGGGCCCGTTTCTCAATCCGGCGAATGTACCTTTTCACCCGATTTTAGCCGAAATAAAAACGTTACCGTTCGACAAATACGCAAACGATATGCCTCCTGCACATATATGTTCCGCCACATAAAACACATTTCTGCGGAGGGAGCTGGTAGGGACGTTGGGTTGCTCGGTCAATGGCCAGGGTCAACGGCGGCGTGGTGTATTCCGCAAATATGCCCGACTGTGAGGGCGGGCACAAGCCGGCGTGAGTAGGTTAAACGTTGAGTTTTATAAGGGCACCACGGGGTGACCAGCCCCTCCCCACCCAGCCCCACCCCTCCTACCCCCCACCCAGCCCCACCCTCCCCACCCAGCCCCTCCCCACCCAGCCCCTCCCCGCCCTCCCCACCCAGCCCCTCCCCACCCTCCCCTCTCCCACTCCGCCCCACCCCTCCCATTTTTGGATGCACGACGGACGGACGGACGGACACAGTAATCCCCTGTGGGCTGGTGGAATCAGGTGGTTCCTACCAGTACATGAAACGTATTATTTTACGCGTGTGTGGCCGATGGGATGTGTAAAAAAAACTGCTATTTTTTATGGGGTGGAACAGAAATGGGAAGGTGACGTATTGCCTACTTATTTATTTGCTTACTTTTCTATAAGTCTCGCATTTTTAAACTCACGTTAGCAGCTAGGGTTTCGCAAGATCGACCTTTCTTCGATTTATGAAATATTATTTTTGTCTTGTCGTGTTTTTTCTTCCATATAAAAAAATACATTATACGCGACAAATTAGCTGTCAGCACAATACATTTTGGATTTATATATAGCCCCTAAATGTGAACGCATCTGAAGGCGCTGTACAGAAACAGGTAATATTTGATGCAGACAGAGGCAGTC